CCCCAAAACCCCAAAACCCCAAAACCCCAAAACCCCAAGTAATATACAGACTGTACTATTTTGATATAAATTATATGATAATTTTAAAAGTAGATAGTCAATCAAATTAATGTTAATCATATTAAAACAAGGGTTACAGGTCTTCTTTACTTTATATTACATAACCTTGCTCTAATTCTTAAGTTTCATCTATTCTTCGTTATAATTCTGAATAGTTATTGTGAAGTATTCCATATTCTTCAAATTCCAATGTTTAATGATATCTTGAATCCTAAATTATTGAATTCTCATTTAGTCTTTCAATATTGATGTTCAAGTAATCAAAATCTTAATTAGACAGAGGATCATAAGGAGGTACTTCTAGAGTATCTTGGAAGCCTTTAATATTATAGCCAAACCTCTTACTTCTGTGCCTTAATTTTTTACCTTGACTCTAGATAGTTGTTTAAAATTTATTCTTGCTTGATTATCTGCTTGTAAAATTTTAAGGTTTGTCAAAAGATACTTCTTACGACTGCTAGTTTTCATCCAAAGTATTTTTAGAAACTGCCAGTATCATCTAATTCTATTATCTTATTGGTTTTTTTATTATCATACTTTGCTTTGACAAAACTACTCTATTTCCAAATATTGTCTCAATTGGAGAAATCGATCTCTAGCTTCCATTCAGCTTCATCTTATAATCCTACTGAGGCTTTAAATAATCTTTCAAGAGTGATGGAGTATTAGCCCTTGGTTAAGTTATCTTTATTTGATATTTCTTGCTCTCATCAACGAACTAGGTCCGTAAGTTATTCAATTCTTTTAGCATGTCCCTAATTTTGATTTTATTTTACTTGTGATTGTTTTTTGCGATCTCATATTTCTATCTGGTAAAAGTATTAGACATAACTGCTGGTTTATTTACAAATTTAGAATCTGAGTTTTCTCTGTTGATTAGACACTATGCTAAGTTAATCTAAGGATGTCCTCTTTAAGAATAAAATTTCCTTGCACTTGAGTCTTTTTATTCATACTTATCTAATACAGATTGCTTAAAAATACCATAATCCTTGGTATTTTCGGGAATCTGAGATGGAGTATGTTATATAACATTTTGGTATGTACCTAAAATAGTTGACTGAATTGTTCTTCGTCTTGACGAATGATTTCTTTCTCTCTTTTATACAAGAAAGTTATCTCGAATCTAGTGCTTTTGCTAATATTAAGCGATTTTATTTTTAACTTAGTCATTTTACCACAAATTGTCTTCATTATTAGAGTCATCTTGAAAACGGACTTATTTTTTAGATCAAGAGGTACTATTAAGCAAAGAGGGTGACTCTCTTGGAGAATTTTGAGTAGTTTTCAACAAACGAGTTGGTCTCCTAATTTTTATGTTTTAAATCATCCTAACTTAGCCACTCTCATTACTAAGACGGCGAAAAGGTTTACTAATCTCTTAATTTATCTCTAATGAAAAATTCATTCTGATAATTTATAACTATTTATATTTGCTTCTCCATCAATTAATTTATCAAACTTATCTTATAATATTTCTATCATATTTCCCTCTAACGGGGTTTTGGGGTTTTGGGGTTTTGGGG